GCAGTTCTAATGCAGTCAAGGACACTTTCTAGCACGAACTGAACGCGCTACTACGCAGTGCTACTAGTTCAGATAGTATAGTACTTGCAGGGGATATGAACGCACAAGTAGGGCGTCTGAGGTCTTCAGAAGCTCAGCTGGGTGGTAATTGTGGGACTTAAGTCCGAACGGACTGACAACGGTGAGCGTCTGATGCAACTGTGTGCGGAGCACCAGTTGTTTCTTAGTAGCACTGCTTTTAGACACAGTGGGCGCCGAAGTGCCACTTGGCGTCCACCTGTAGCTGGCCAGCGATGGACCCAAATTGACCACATAGCCATAAGCTACAGGTGGCGCGGTTCCATTCTGGATTGCCGCTCATACTGGAGTACTTGTGTCGACTCTGATCATGCCTTGGTGCGCTGTCGTTTCTCCATGAACTTTACCGGAAGGCGCACAAAGCGTCTCCCCCGATTGGCAAGGGAGAAATTGTTCCAGCCCTCGGTCAGGCAAGTCTATCAAGAAGCACTGCATAGCGAACTCTCGTTGTCTTGTCCTAATGACACTGAACTTCAGTGGAATAGGATCTCGGCCGCTATGCACGACGCAGGAGCATCTGTTTGTGGCACTATCAGTCGTCACCGCACCAGTCACTGGATATCCGAGAGGTCCGTGAACCTTTTGGAAGCTAGAAGGCACCTCCCGACTGGTTCTGAACACAATGTGACCAGACGGGCTATTAGGCGTGAACTAAAGCAGAACCTGCGTGCTGACAAGGAAGCCTGGTGGACCAGTCGGGCTCAAGAAATGGAGGAGGCAGGAGCAGTAGGCAATTACCGGAAACTCTTCCAGCTAATCCGCACCACTGGTCCCAGAAAACCAGGCGTCAATGAGACAATCAGAGACAGCGCGGGTGCACTGATACACAATAAGGAGCGCCGTATGGCTCGTTGGGCTGAACACTTTGAAGATCATTTCAGCTGGCCTCCTGCTCCCGGACCTCTTCCTACTCAGGTGATGCAGGACGTGCCATGGACGGTTAGTTTAGAGCCTTCGTCGGAGGCCGAGGTCCGAAACGCGATCACAGCCCTCAATCGTTTTCGTGCCGCTGGACCGGATTCCCTCCCACATGCACTATTTAAGGATGGAGGTGAGGTCCACTGCAGGGCACTGACCTCCCTATTCGAACGTATCTGGAACGAAGAGAGTGTGCCGGCTAATCGGAGCGAATCGATTATAGTGGCAATATACAAGAAAGGGCAGTCGCACAGACTGTGCGAACCACAGGGGTATTAGCCTAACGCCAGTTGTGACAAAATTACTGGCCTCGATTATCGTTCGTCGCCTCACTGCAGAACGGGAATCTCGGATTAGGGAAAAGCAGGCCGGTTTCCGCCCAGGACGTGACTGTATAGACCATTTACTTACTTTGCGGCGGGTGCTACAGCAGAGCCACGCATACCGCAGACCAACAATAGCTGTGTTCCTCGATTTCAAGAGTGCGTTCGATTCAGTCGATCGATCGATTCCGTTCGAATTACTTGCGCGAAAAGATGTTCCCACGAAATATGTGAACATCCTTCTTGCTCCATATTCGAACACTACAGGCCGCGTCAGGGTCTACGGTGTCCTATCGGATAGCTTTTCGACTACAAGTGGCGTTCGTCATGGTTGCCCGATTTCCCCGTTTTTGTTCAATTTCGTCGTGAATTCTATCATGGAGTGTTCCCTTGCGGAATCTCACGATGTAGGCGTTGAAGTGCTGCCTGGTGAAAGGTTAGTTGACCTAGATTATGCGGACGATATCGTCTTGCTTTTCGACAATGTTGAGGCAGCACAGTCAACCCTGAATAGCCTATCCAGAGTGGTCCCATTATTTGGTATGCACTTCGCACCTTCAAGGTGTAAAGTGTTGCTGCAGGACCACCAGCCACTTGATGACCCCTTGACGCTTGCTAACGAGGAACTCGAGGTGGTTGATCGATTCACTTATCTTGGCAGCTGCATCAGCAATAATGGGCGCATAGAAACTGACGTGAGCTCACGCATTGTAAAGGCCAGAGCTGCCTTCTTGAACCTAAGGCATCTGTGGCGACAGAAGGGAGTTTCCCTCCGTCTGAAAGGCCGTGTATACAAGGCCACAGTGAGGGCCGTTCTGCTCTATGGTACTGAGACTTGGCCCCTTCGGTCTGAAGATCTGAGGCGCCTTCAAGTCTTTGATCATCGTTGTTTGCGAGGCATTGCTGGTGTCGGATGGCACCAGCGTGTCCGCAACAATGATGTGCGTAGGCGAGTACTAGGTGGTGATAATCCTGCTAGCACCCTAGAACAACAGATAGCACTGAATAAGTTGCGTTGGCTCGAGCACGTGCTACGTATGCCTGGTCATCGCTTACCTAGGAGGGCCTTGTTCAGTCTCCCAGGTGTAGGATGGCGCAAGGCTCGAGGTGGACAGACGTTGACTTGGCAGCGGGAAATGAAGTCACTGACGACCAAACTGGGTGCCGTTGGTCCGTCTCGCCTTCCGGGTTGGAGTCCACGTGACTCACCTTGTGCTTGGCTTGAGACTTTACAGGATATGGCTCGCAACCGACACCAGTGGCGCGTCTGCTGCCGTCTCCTAATCGGCTTGTCTTACTTATGAGTGGAAGGATTTTGGTGAGTATTTCTGTTCGTCGCAATTAGCCGACAATACAGATATGTCGACCAGCTATCCGGAAAAGCACCAGACTGATAGCCCTATTGGGGCTCATCAGTGGTGCGCATAATTCGGTCCTCTGCGGAGGATCGAACCCATGACTGCTAGTGGCTCTTGCCAACTAGCCCGCAGCTTATGCAACTGCGCCATGGAGGACGGTATCCGACCATCACGAATTGTTAGCTAAATGCGATATAACCCGACCCATCCTCCACTGCCATGCAGGCACCTACCATGCGGATGACAGCGGTTGGCCTTCCGGCGTCAGGATTTTCCGATTACGGCAGCTACGAGTCGACATAGCATTTTGTGGAATCCGTAAGGGCGAATTGGTATTACTTATGAGTGGAAGGATTTTGGTGAGTATTTTTATTCGTCGCAATTAGCCGACAATTCAGATATGTCGACCAGCTAACCTCAGCCATTCCCTCGCCTAGGTGCGCAAGGTGCCTGTGCACGGTAACATTGGATAATCCGGTGTGTGGATGCAGATGTTGGTTCACGAACTGGGAAATAGAGGCAAGGAGAAGTCAGCACAGTTTTGAAGTCAAGACAAACGCAGTCGCGGCATGGAACATGTCCAGAACACGGGGTCAAACCTGAAGTGAGTATGAGGCTTGATTAAGTCCGCTGTGAATTGAGTCAAATCGGTTTCACAACGAAAGATTGAGTGGGCAAAGGAGATATCTGTTTGAGGGGAGGGACAGGTGAGGTCCCGCTGATGCGTTCCAAAATCAAGTGAAGATCTCGCGGGATGACTCCTACTATATGATAGCCGTCTCACTGAACGTGGCTAGTTTTCTTTGATAAAACTATCATGTAACAGAAAGATTTTCAGCGTTTGCGATACCGAACAACTAATAACCGAGATGGAAACTGGGTTTTGCCTATGCGAAATCACCGCACAGCACGTTGCGTTTCGACCACATCTGCTCTCATCAGGTGGGAATAGCAGGCCCATCGTGATTCGGTAGCCAAAGTGTTAGAGGTTCCGGCTAATACTCCAATAGTCCCCGGTTCCAGGCATGCTATCTCTACCTGATAATATTAAATGAGGTCAGAACGCGTCATGATGTGCAGTGCTTTCGGGCGGGCAACATCCAATTTCCATCTGCTTCGGTTACGGTTGCAGTGATTGCAATGAGCATGGTTCACTTCAAAATTATTCGCCATCTACATTAAGATTATACTCTCAGAGCCCAGCTCCACTGAAACGGCTCAAATAAGCCGATGTAGCTGGCAAGCACAAGCTCTTTGGTCGGTTACAATTAACGTTAATGATAGCAAGAACATTGCAGGTTTTCTACAATTTCTTTTTTATACTTTGGCTACAACAAGCGCGATATATATTTAAGGTAGCAGCAGTAACGCTTATGAACGCGCATTACACCAAATAAGAAATTGATGAGGTCAGCGGTATTTTGCTTGTGATCCCAGTTACTGGCAAGACTAAATCAGCCCGACTAGTTAGAATTTATAGCATGCGCTGATGCACCTACGCTACGAAGTTCTATTTAATCAGATGGGGCTAAACATCCGTGAGAGCCGATGCCACTCATAGCCAATTCAATGTGAAATACACTATGCTACGCAGCTTTCTATGAGTATTTTATCTCGACTACTAACAGGACAGCTCCGACAACTTGCTTCCATACATTTTAAAATAACATGTGTGAAGCATGAAAAATGTCTGTTTACTATTATCAAGTTAGCACACTTTGTTCTGACTAAAAACTAACAGCTTTGAGAACCAAAACTACTCCTTCTATATTCCCTCCGCCTGTGAAGTAATGAAAATGCATAATATTTATAAATTCTATCCAACCTAAAGTTCGATAAAAGGTATGGCCTGAAACTGTGCATGCATGCGTACCCACAGGCTGAAATGTACGCAGCCACCTTGTCCCGAAAACTGATCTGTTTTTTAGGGTATTCGTTTTCCTTGAACTCACGCAAATCAGTGGTTGTGTTTTTCGATTCGCTTCATCTTTGTTTGCGGGTACTAGATCATCCGCTTGCTTCCAACTCATTTGCATCGAAACAACTGTGCTTCCTCCAGTTTTCTCCGGTGTATACTTTTGGCTCATGTACGTTTTCTTTAGATCAAAATAATTTCCTACCCTCTTCCAATCGCCACTAAATAGATATTTTGTACAACTTCAGCCTAATAAGGTGGCAGGTCGCAGCTACATTTTAATCCGTAATGGTTAGCTATCGCCTCTTATGGCTTAGTGGCATAAGCTGCTTTCTAGTGTAGTAAGACACTAGCGGTCAGAGGTTCGAGGAACTGCGCACCACTGACGAGCCTCACTAAGGAGTCGGGATGACGATCTTCGCTCCATCTGGTCCTCTCCAGCTGGAGGTACGGGCTTTGCAGTTCGGGATACTCAGTCCCGAGGAAATTAAAGCTATGTCCGTCACCTCGGACGGCGGAATTAAGTATGCTGAGACCATGGAGGGGGGGGAGCCGAAACTTGGTGGCCTCATGGACCCTAGGCAAGGATGCGTGGACCGGAGCTCAATATGTCAAACTTGCAGTGGAAACGTATCTAGTTGTCCGAGGCATTTCGGCCATATCGAGCTGGCTAAACCTGTATTCCACATCGGATTCATCAAGAAAACCCAGAAACTTCTCGGGTGTGTCTGCTTTCATTGTTCAAAGATTTTGGTCGACGTCCATTCATCGAACATTCAAGAGATACTAAGGAAAACCAAGGGTGACAATAGACGGAGAATACTATTCATGTATGAAGAGTGCAAGAATCGTTCCGAGTGTCTATCCGTTGATGATGAAAACGAGTGCGAGCCTGACCCTCTGGAACCCAGCACCAAACGTATTGGTTGCGGGCGATATCAACCGCGTTTTCGTCGCAACGGCCTAGAAATGACTGCGGAGTGGAAGAAGATTAACGAGGAATCACAGGAGCGCAAAATCTCGCTGACCGCCGAAAGAGTTCTTGAAGTGTTCAGGCGCATCTCCGACGACGATTGTATCGCGCTGGGATTCGACCCCCGCTACGCTCGTCCTGACTAGATGTTGATCACAGTGCTACCCGTTCCACCGTTGGCCGTCCGCCCCGCCGTGGTCATGTATGGCACGACGCGAAATCAGGATGACTTGACGCACAAGTTGGCGGATATCGTTAAAGCGAACAACCAACTTCGTCGCGATGAACAGAATGGTGCTGCGTCGCATATTTTGGCCGAGGATATTCGGATGTTACAATTCCACGTGACTACAATGGTAGACAACGATGTCCCCGGTTTACCAAAAGCTATCCAAAAGTCTGGTCGACCTCTGAAATCTCTCAAGACACGTTTGAAGGGGAAAGCTGGTCGTATTCGAGGTAATCTCATGGGGAAGCGCGTTGATTTTTCCGCCCGCACTGTGATAACTGCCGATCCAAATCTCAGCCTTGATCAAGTTGGAGTACCCCGCAGCATCGCCCAAAATTTGACCTATCCAGAGGTTGTAACACAATACAACATCGACCACTTGCAGAAACTGGTACAGAACGGCACACTCTACCCTGGAGCCAAGTTCATCATAAGGGAGAATGGGGATCGTATTGATCTTCGTTATCATCCAAAAGTGGCGGATCTCACTCTGCAAGTCGGCTATGTGGTTGAACGCCACATGTTGAACGATGATTATGTAATTTTCAACCGACAACCTACTCTTCACAAAATGTCCATGATGTGTCACCGAGTGAAAGTTCTTCCATGGTCCACCTTTCGCCTGAACTTATCTGTGACCACACCGTACAACGCTGACTTCGATGGGGACGAAATGAACCTCCACCTGCCCCAATCAGTAGAGACCAAAGCCGAGATCAGTCAGTTAGCGCGTGTCTCTCGCCTCGTAATCACTCCCCAGGCAAATAAGCCGGTGATGAGTATTGTGCAAGACACACTGACCGCGGTGAATAAGATGACACAACGTGATGTGTTCCTCACCAGAGCCGAGATGATGAATCTACTCATGTACCTACCTACGTGGAATGGTCGCATCCCCAAACCTGCCATTTATAAACCACAACGTTTTTGGACTGGTAAGCAGTTGTTTAGTCTTGTGATCCCCGGACGTGTCAATTGCATCCGCACGCACAGCACCCATCCGGAAGACGAAGATGTTGGGCCCTACCGCTGGATATCTCCCGGGGACACCAAAGTTATCGTGGACGACGGGGAGCTGATCGCTGGCATATTGTGCAAGAAAACCTTGGGTTCTGGAGCTGGCTCACTCATTCATATTGTGGCTTTGGAGCATCATCATGAGCAGGTCAATATGTTCTTCAACAATATTCAAACTGTGGTTAACAACTGGTTGTTAATCGAGGGTCATACTATTGGAATTGCGGACACTTTATATGACCAGGCTACTCGCCGCCAGATCGGTGAAACTATTAGCAAGGCTAAGGACGCTGTGTTCGAGATTATCGATCAAGCACACAATTACGACCTTCAACCAACACCTGGCAATACCTTGCGCCAGACCTTTGAGAACAGCGTGAACAAAATTTTAAACGATGCTCGTGATAAAACCGGCAGTTGCGCGCAACGCTCCTTGTCAAAGTATAACAATTTCAACATTATGGTCGTCGCTGGTTCCAAAGGATCTCGTATCAACATCTCACATGTCATCGCCTGCGTCGGACAACAGAACGTCGAGGGTAAACGTATTCCATTTGGTTTCCGCCATCGCACTCTCCCTCATTTCATACAAGATGACTATGGTCCCGAGTCACGTGGATTTGTGGAAAACTCCTACCTGGCTGGTCTCACGCCGACCGAGTTCTTCTTCCATGCCATGGGTGGCCGTGAGGGCTTGATCGATACAGCTGTCAAGACTGCGGAGACTGGATACATCCAACGTCGACTGATCAAGGCAATGGAGTCCGTTATGGTCAAATACGACGGCACAGTGCGCAATCAAATTAATCAGCTCATTCAATTACGTTATGGTGAAGATGGATTGGATGCTACACATGTGGAATTCCAGCGTCTCCCCACTTTCAAACCTTCTCATGCTGCATTCGAGCACGGTTTCCGCTTCGATGTGAACAATGAACGCGCACTGCGTCGCTGCATGCCAGATGATGTGGTACGTAGCCTGGCTACCGATTCGCAAACCCAATCGGAATTGGAGGCCGAATGGATGCAGTTGTGTTCCGATCGGGAAATACTACGCTCCATCATACGCAAAACCGATGACACGGTCGTCTTACCTTGCAACATCAATCGTCTTGTTATGAACGCACAAAAGATATTCGAGATCGATACACTATCCAAAACTAACGTCCATCCCCGGCAAGTGGTGGAGATGGTCAGGGAGACATGCAAACGCCTTGTGATTGTTCCCGGTGATGATCGTCTAAGCCGTGAGGCAAACTCAAACGCGACGTTGCTGATGTGTTGCTTAATCAGATCGCTACTTTGTGCCAAAAAAGTTATCAACGAATATCGTCTCAGTTATGAAGCGCTAGATTGGGTGCTGGGTGAGGTTAGGGCTCGGTTCCAGCAAGCTCAAATTCATCCCGGCGAGATGGTTGGTGCTCTGGCAGCACAATCCCTAGGTGAACCTGCCACCCAGATGACACTCAATACGTTCCATTATGCTGGTGTCTCTGCAAAGAACGTCACACTCGGTGTTCCAAGATTGAAAGAGATCATTAATGTTAGCAAAAAGCCGAGAACCCCATCGATGACCATTTACCTGACTGGTTCTGCGGCGAGAGACGCTGAACGTACGAAAGATGTGGTCGCCCGCCTAGAGCATACAACACTGCGGAAGCTTGTCAATAGCACTTACATCTATTGCGATCCGGATCCCAAAAATAGTGTTGTGGAAGAAGACAGGGAGTGGGTTTCCACCTACTATGAGTTACCTGACTTCGATGTCAATGCAATCAGCTCTTGGATGCTTCGCATTGAATTCGCTCGCAAGGGCATCACCGGCAAGAAACTGTCTATGGAGCAGATATCGGATAAAATCACACGAGCCTTCGGGAATGATCTCATTTGCCACATTCCAGATGATAATCTTAAACTTGTAATGCGTATACGAATCATGAACAGCGATTTAGAGAAGGATCTCAAAGATGCGGACACCACCTCGGACAAGATGGAGGATGACACTTTCCTCAGATTCATTGAGGCGAATCTACTTTCGGATATTACGCTACAAGGTATACCTCAAATCACTAAAGTATATATGCATCGACCTCAGACGCAAGACAAAAAACGAGTTGTCATCAAAGAAGACGGCAGTTTTGACGCTGTAGCCGAATGGATGCTTGAAACAGACGGGGCTTGTCTCATGAAGGTGTTAGCCGAACGCGACGTTGACCCGACTCGGACCGTTAGCAACGATATTGTGGAGACTTTCGAAGCTCTTGGCATCGAGGCAGTTCGCAAAGCCATCGAGTGTGAAATGCACCACGTCATCTCCTTCGACGGCTCATATGTGAATTATCGACATTTGGCACTGCTTTGCGATATAATGACGGTCAAAGGACACTTGATGGCCATCACTCGCCATGGTTTGAATCGCTTGGACACCGGTGCGCTCGCACGCTGCAGTTTCGAGGAAACCGTAGACATTCTGATGGATGCCGCAACACACTCCGAATGTGATCCAATGGCTGGAGTATCTGAGACTATCATGCTCGGTCAGTTGGCGAAAATTGGCACCGGCTGCTTCGATCTCCTTTTGGACTCAGCCAAATGTCAGGAAGCACAACCTATTCCACTCACCGGCGCTTTTGGCATGGGATTATTTAACGCTCCAGGATTCGAAGGCATCGGCGCAACTCCTGGTCTGGGATTCACTATGGGTGTGGACGGCCTCCCCGTCATCGGTGGTGTTTGTGGTTATCACACCCCATGGGACAACGCTCACTCTCCTGTCGGTGTAATCGGTGCATCCCCACACTATCGAACGGGACTGGGAGGGGTAACAGCTCCACACGCAGCAATGTTTTCACCTGCGGTTCGGTATGATTCCTCCTTGTCTCCGGGTCGCAGTCCTCAACTGGATAGTCCGCGCACTCCAGAGGCGTTCTCCCCAGCAGCGTATGCCAATTTCGCTAGCCCAATGTCAATCACCGGGACACCACAAACAGAGCTGGGCTCCCCTGGTTCTAGCCCAGGTCATTCAGGTAGCCTGAGCAGTGGCTCCTTCGGTTACGGTGGTACTGGAAGCTTGCGTGCCGATATTTTCTCTCCAATTCATAAACCATCCTACGCTGGGACCGGCAGCAGTTCTAGCTTTAGTGCTGGTGTTGGCAGCAATTCTCCAACGTTCTCCCTACAACAATCGTATGAACCTATGTCGGTTGGCTATACCCAGCGTTCTCCACATCATCCAAGCTTCTCCGGCTATGGCATGACCTCCAGTGCTTCTTATGGCCTTTCAAGTGAATCACCAGACAGCATCAACTATTCCTACAGTCCACATAGCCCGATGCCAACAGCGGGAAGCTCAGCAAGCCGTGAATACATTGGTTGGAGCACATTACCAGGGTCTGAAACGCCTGGCGTCTCACCAAGTTCCCCTTCACCAGGTATGAGTGCAAGTAGTCTTAGCGGAAGTCGCCCTTCCTTCTATCCCAACAGTCAACCGGTGTCGCCCATTTCGTTTAACGCTTCTCCATCCGCACCCCGTTACAGCCCACCCACTCTAGCTGGAAGCTCTTCCATGGAAAGCTACTCTCCTCAGATGACGACTCCGAGTTCCCCTGGGGGTGCACCGAGTGGAACGTTTGGTGGTCCCGGCCATTCTCCTTTGTCATACCCCACTACTCCGAATTATCCAATGTCTCATGGAATGAGCGCCAGTGTTGGTACCGGCCTTGGATCAAGCAGTTTACTCGGCTATTCTGCGACCGCTTTTTCCGGTTCGACTTTCGGCGCCTCAGCCTACAGTCCATCTTTGCAGACACCGTCGTCTCATTATTTAATGACGACGCCTCGCCCTGGATCACCCTCTCCTAGTCCGCGTGAATATTATCCGACCCCAACACCCGACTCACGACGATAATTTTTGTGCAATTTGGATGCCAATTTTTCCTGACAAAATTTTGTACATACCTTATCCTATTCATCTTCTGGTGTTTTCCGGATTAGTAGCCTATCCTTGCAGCTTGTTATCTAATTGCGATGAATGAAATAAAATTCCGAATTTCTTGACTATTGCACTCGGCAGATATTAAGAACGCCGGGAGTTAATTTCGGCATTTTCTCTTCTGTCAGGTGGTATAGACATGAGACGACCTAAGGTTGTCTTTTGTTGAGGAATCAAAGGTTGTCCCCATTGCTGTAACAATTGAACCATAGTGTAAATGCGAGTAAAACGAGCCGCGGCACAGCAGGTCCCGTGGGATGGTTTGTGTGATTTACATTATTTCTGATAAAAGTTACAGTGTACTGAAACGTTCATCTGTCTAATCCCATAATATCCACTTTAACACATGACTAAGTCCGTTTACCCTGACTTCGTGAGCTTTGTTGACCACAATTTTCGTATGTGTCTTGTCGTCGTTCGATGAACAGAATTCAAATACAGTAGAACCATCGTATCTTGACCGCCCAAGGGAATGAACCGAAGTGGTCAGCATAAAGGAAGTCAGCATACGGTTTAGATATTTAGAGTAACCTACTATGTGGTTGTGAGTAGTATGGTATGAGTTATACATTCACATAAACCCGTTTCGAACAAATTAGACGAGGTCTCAAGTAACCGCAAACGCAGTTCAACTATACAGTTATAATAAATCAAAACGCAGTGTGCGTTTTGTAAGCTAAACCATATCTTGAAGAACAAGTCAATCTGTCTGTTACTTTTCTTTATCACAAAGGTAACTGAAAATTATGCTCTCGGCACAAACTACATTACAACATCCTTGGACATTTTCCACAGCAAATGATTTCAGTTGTATTAAAAGATGCTCAACATCAGTACCTTTTGGTTTTTAGGTGGTTCCCGTAGCATCTTCACTTAGTTCTTCCTCATCATCAGGTGCTGCCATTTTTCCGTATGAGTGAATCGTAGCCTGTATCTTTTGAAGACAGCATCTGGGGCTGGTTCAGTGCAGATTTCCAAGTCATCGTATATTTCAATAAACTTTTGAACATCTATTCACTCAAAAACTGTAACTGGTGATGAAATATTTATTAAACCAACGGCGTCTTGGTCGAGAGTTTGAACGAATCCAGCTTTCTTGCAGCATTTCTCCATTGTTTCTAGTTGAACACTGTACCAAGCAGAAATTAACCAAAATACAGCAACCATAGTATTAATTGAAGCAGCAGTTGATGTTATGTAGCCAATTGTATGAGCTGGATATGTTAACGCGTTTTGAATATTTTGTTGCTTCCTTAGTCCAGATGTTGAATATTTGAGGTAGAAAATTTGTAATGTTCGCGAGATCAGCAACGTGGATGTGACTGGAACAGTGATCTACTGTTAGTAGAATGGACCCTTTCTTTTTCATCATTTCTCGGTCGATCTTTCTTATGCATTCGTCAAATGTGGCAGCGGTCAACCACGCAGACTCGCTTAGCTGCCTGGTGATTGGAAGGTTTACAGGACTCAGATGTTTGAACACACTTGATCTAGCTGACTTACCAATGGCCATGGGCTTTAGATTCTCGCCACTTTAGCTAGTGCACAGTATGATTGTAAAATGTCATTTGAAAGCTTTCCGCTTACAAATTTGTAACCCCTTAATAGCAAGAATCTTACCAGGCATTGCCTGGTAAAACAGACCGCAAACATCAGCGTTAAAAATGACACTATCGCTGAAACCTAAGCTGAAGTTGGGAAACGTTTCGCTGAATTCTTGCACAAACTTTTCAGGAATTTCATTGGATTCACCAAACAACACTTTTTTGTAAATGTTATATCGCAGCCTAAATTTCCATAGCCACTAAATGCATGCTTTAAAATCCGCAACCTCAAATATTTGTGCAAAAGTTTAGCATTTTCGTGAATCAACTGCCCGGAGATTCGAGCATTAACTGCCCTTATTCGCTTGAATCAGTGCAGCTTAGCTTCATCGTCTTTATGGTAGGAAGTTCTCTGCCTAATTCCGCTGTATGTCTCCAACTTCCTAATCATATTTCTCCAAGTACTCATGCCTACGCTGCTGGATTGTCCTAACAGTTGTCTCGCTAGCACTAAACTGTACTGTCTTTTTTATTTGAGTGCTGCTTTCTAGAAAAAGAAACACATCACTCTGCTTCTTCCACTTTAAACATTTGTGGACGTTTGCGCCATAATGCATCGATAAGTGGAATAGCCGCTCCGGAATTGTTCAAAACGCATTGTGGACCCAGTCGACTGTTCTAATAGTGCAACTGAACTGCTCCCTACGCATATGGCTTGCATCCTGAAGGCAATTGAAATTAATCGCCAAAGCATATGAATAGCATCCAGTGTTTTTGCGACGTACAATGCATGCAGTGTCCATGGAATTGAGCTAGGTCAAATCAGTAAAAGATGGCAGATGTAGTAACTTCGCATGGATAATATGGCTCGATGGTGTGCGGTGGGGACGTGCGGATGATGAGTGACTAGTTCTACGAATCTTCCTTGTCCAAGGTTGTTCACATTCACGTGGTGGGACGGGGTGGTGGCTTGAGTGGACGCAAGTCATCCACCATGTACCTAAATGCATGGTATGCGCACAGCAGCAGTGCGGGGGCAGTGAACACCACAAAGAACACCCCAATAGCAATCTTCTGGATAGTTTCGCAATGTGTTTGGGAATAAGGCAAAGGGCGACCTACCAACGCTCGGGCTATAGAGTCATACTGAAGTGGCAACAAAGGCAAGAATCACAGGCGGAAAGGACAAGCCACAAAAATTAAAGAAACTCAAAATTAACGAGAAGACCGAGGAAGAAAGCTGACAAAAGAGCTCGAGGCCTACGGAAAAACCAAAAATGATCATCTAGCAACAAACGATGTCAGTCCAACGCCGAGAAGAGCGGAAAGCACGTAGTGGTGAACAGCCCAATTTTCCGGAGCGAAAAGCCTTCGGCAGCACCTACATGGTTAAACAAGTGGAAAGCGACGCAGCCTCGATTCAGCAAATCAAGAGCATTAGAACGAATCCAGCCCGGTCAGAATAGAATGTGCGGAAGCGTAGATATGAGGGCAAATCGGTGCACAGCGACCTCTCACATTGGCTGAAGTCGGGGCATGAGTGAGTCATTGAGCGAAATGACATAGTGTGATGCCAAATGGGCAGGAAATGTCCTCTATATGCGCACGCGTACGTGATAGTCTTTAAACCCGTTAAGCATTAGAAATAAAGTATGCGTGCCTATCGTTGCTTCTCGCTACCATACGACTGCAAGGTGCCCGAACAACAACACAGTCACAGATACATGACTGCGAATGATCGAGACAGTCGTGCCAAAGCGTTATGACGTGTTTGAGAGTAAAGCAAAAATAGGGACCTACGAAACATGTAAGTGCAAAAATACTTGGTAAGATGCCACCCTGGTTAAGAGAGCGACCACTTAAGCGAATCTCTACTGGCGAAGCTAATGTCAAAATACGACTGTGGCAAACATAATACAGGTGCGTAGACATAGTCTTGTTACAGCCAGCGTCATTTACTACCAGGGTAGCTGTAGTACATCGACCTGATAGTTACTGAGTCGAATGAGAGACTGTGAAGAGAACCGTCTCCACCTAAATCGTCTACTTATATCGGTTCAATAATAGCCTCGCGTAGAGACTACGCTAATAAAATATGCTGAGGACATCGATCTGGGTAGCAATCATCGAAGTACCGATTGCCATCTCAGGCTGCAAAATCATCTGAACGACGTCAAAAGTTGGTCCAAAGCTCGTCATCTCTCTTAATGCATTCGAGTGTTATAATAGGCTTTGCGCGTTACATATAGGAGCCAGGTACGAGTTGTTCTCTACAAAGTGCCTCAAATGGCTTATTGATGGTGATGGATTTCACTCTGAGATATCAGTGATGTACCTAGAAAGGGTACTTGGATTTCTGCCAGTTGACCGACTGATAAACCTTCAGTATGCGGACGACATATCCGTCTTTGAGTCTGACGCAGGAGTTATGCAAGAAAACCGATCAGACCGGCGTTTAACGCTGTAAGCCTCGGCGTGTGATTTGCACATTCAAAATGCAATGTGTTGTGACAGCATTGGTCCGATCAGCCACCTGTGCCGACTGTCCTTTAAAAAGGGGGAATTCCAGAGGTCATCCGAAGGATAATAAACAAAGAAAAGTTAAGGGTGACCTACCAGAAGGGTCAAACGGTCCATTCGCTACTGTTGCATTTGAACGACTCACTCACCGCAGATAGAAGAATCAACTGCGTCTGCAAAATTAGCTGCAAGGATTGCGTGCACTTGTATATAAACCAACCTGCGGGAGAACTGCCCACGGGGTTAGCTTAACACAAGAACGCATGTCAGGGCAACGAAGGAAGAAAGTTGAATACAGCGCGTTATTGAGACATTCGGCAGTGTCGATGCACTCGTTAAACACAGGGCGTGCAATCGACTAGCATAACGTCGAAAGCTTTAGGAAGGGTTTGCGATGCACACTCCGAAGGCTGACTGCTGTGGCATCGGAAATTGCCAAAGCCAACAGCTGCGTAGAATGGATGGAGTGTAGTTATGGACTGTATGTCGGGATGTCTTACGCGGCCAGTCTGAGGGACGTTGACGCAGGGATCTGGGGCGAAGTGCAAACATCAAACCACTTCTACTCCTACAACAGGGAGAGAATTACCTGTGATGACCACGTACAATGAACCACATGAGATCTTGCCATCTCTAAGGTGCCAGTTAAAATGACTATTTGACCTGTGACGGGATTACTTTGATGTTGGCAAATCGATTGCCGCACTTACTGTCCCTCCTTGTCAAAACAGCGGTACCAATCACCCGCTAGTTCATTTGGCCTGAGGAATGTTTTATGTCCAAGGCTAAATGCTGGCCTCTATCTGCTTCATGAACTAGTCTGTTTTGACTCATGTAGAATGCCCATTTGTT